TTATGGGTCTAATCCCACCATGGGATGCTGAATCCATTCCATTTTGACAATGTCCCTCTTAAAATTTCCAGCTGGGAACTGTCCATGGTCCTCCAGGTACAATCTGACCATTACAGGGCACAGTGTTTGCAGTACTGTGGTGAAGCCCAGGAACACGCTGGCCTCACGAGCAGCTAAATTCATTGTCAACTTGTATTGAGTTTGTCAATAATGAGAATTTCAAACTTAAGTTGAATTCTTATTATTTTCCAGGTTTGAAGATGCCACTGGGACAGCCTAGGGTGTGTGTGTGTGTGTGTGTGTGTGTGTGTGTGTGTGTGTGTGTGTGTTTCTATCACTATTGACTCGGCACTTTACATGGACCAGCATTTCCCGGGTGTTTTCATAGTTGTCAGTGTTCTGTCATATCTTCCTTATGTTTATGCCCCCCAGCTACAGGTCCCTTCTCCAGAGATGAGCAAAATGGGCACTTGCTTGTGCTTGTTTCTAGAGAGGTGTCCTGTTTATGTAGGTACAAATGGCACTAGACACTTGATTAGGCACCTTACTTTTTTCACTAACTGTACCTTGGAGAGTCTTCCATATCAGTACATAAAAAGTTTACTCAATTCTTTTTAAGACTACATCGTGTTCTATGGTACAGGTGTCTCATATTGGTTTAACCCATCACATATCAGTGAGTATTTGTGTAGTACCTAATCTTTTGCTGTATTGTAATGGAATAACTTTGCACGTACATCATTTTCCATATTTAGTAGTCTATCCTACAGATCTAATCTTGACACTAGACTTGTAGGGCCACAGGGCCTACATATATTCTATTTTGTTAGATTAAAAAAATTTTTTTAATGTTTATTTTTGAGAGAGAGAGAGAGAGAGAGAGAGAGTGGGGGAGGAGCAGAGAGAGAGGGAGACACAGAATCCAAAGCAGGGTCAGGCTCTGAGCTGTCAGCACAGAGCCTGACGCAGGGCTCGAACCCACGAACCATGAGATCATGACCTGAGCCAAAGTCGGATGCTCAACTGACTGAGCCACCCAGGCACCCCTATTTTGTTAGATATTTATATCAGATTTACACCTATTCACACTTCTACCAATAATGAATAAGAACACCTTTTTGGGAGAATTTCTGAGCTTTTTTGTTAAATTTAACTACAGTAGGTAGATGTAATCCACTGGTTTTTAATTTTGCAAAATTTGTCTGGGGTTGGATGAATTAAACTCAAGCCAGAGTTGATAATTAGTCATATATTTTTGAGAAGAAGTTTGATCTTGTGCATATGCAAATCCATATAGTAGGCAGCAAGATTAAAACAGGAGACAATTGTATTTTAAAAACAAACCTTTGGGGGCACCTGGGTGGCTCACTCAGTTGAGCATCTGATTCTTGGTTTCTGCTCAGGTCATCATCCCAGGATTGTGGGATTGAGCCCTGCATCGGGCTCTGCACTGAGCATGGAGTCTGCTTGAGATTCTCTCTCTTTCCCTCTGTCCCTTTCCCTTCTCTCTCTCTCTCTACAATAAAAATAAACAAATAAATGCAGACCTTTGAACGACTTTATTATTTAATGCATTTAATTGGGAGTTGATACAGACATGCATTTAATTGGGACGCTAACTCAAACACCTTCATCATATTATTTACAATTGTTTTTGCTAAAAGTAATTGTGGAGGGGTCATTATTCATTTCTTGCATTAATAGGACTAAAGCTCAATTAAAAATTAAAAAAAAAGAGAGATCCCCTCACTGTCTCTGTAAGGCCTGTCCTCGTCTGCAAATGTGATTTTCTCTGTGGAGGTCAGCCCTGATTTTGCTTAGAGAGAGCGCTTGTTTCTTGCTCTGCGTGTCAGTGTAGTCTGACAGCAGTCCCCGGGTCCTGGCCGGTGATACCGATGTCACACTACACAAGTGTATCCTTGAGGTAGCCATGCAACCACACTCCAGTTCTCTCTCTGCTAGCTCTACAGGTAATTGCATTTGCAGCCTGAGGACATCTGTTCCCAGTAGATCAGCCCAGTGCTCTGAAATCCTCAAGCGCTTAATCAGAGCGCCGAGGGAGCGGTCATCCCCAAGGCCCTGTCACTGGCTCCCAAGGCCTGCGCTTCATGTGAGAAACAGCATATAGTTCGCTGGGCTGAAACGTGTCCAGAAGAGAAATCCAGCCTGCTGACATGTGCTCCTGTATTTTATGATCACAAATGAATTTTCTGACTTTTACCAGACGTGAAGTTTCATGTGTTGGGTTTGTTAGGGACTGGCTCTTGTCTTGAGGGCAGGGAGACAATAATCTGATATCGGGGTGGAAAAAAGTTCCTCATAGCTGGAATATTTTAACTGCTTATTGGTTTCTTGGTGAAAGCTGCCGGTTGGTTAGTCTACTCCACACCGACAGTATGTCTATAGTACTCAAGCGTCTGATATATTTTTTTGTGTATTTTGAGAACTTTTTGTACTTAGTTAAAAATATCACTCACTCTCTCGGTCATGGAAATTCCCCTTTTGCGTTAGGGGTTTTCTTTTAATATAAAAGTCAACATATAACATTCTAGAGGTTTGTTTTTTTTTTTTTTAGAGCTCTGTATCACTGAATTTGGGACTTCAGTTTTCTAACCACATGTTAGATTGTAGTTTTTAAGTAAAACATGTAGTTTCTAATTTATTATCACCAGCACTGATACTGGTTATCCAAATGGAGCAGCTATTGTATTACTATCTGAGAAAGAAATCTGTAAAGTCTTAAAATATTGTTTTTGTGATAAAGTGCCCTTGACTGTACTTTAAGGGCTGTAATTTAATTAGCAGTAGTGAAGCTTCTCCTTACGGAAGACTAGAATCGAAAGGGAGCCGGGAAACGAAGCTGTTGCCAGGACCTTGAGAAGCAAAGTGTCTCACAAAATAGGTTCCATAATCCATAATTAGTTTAGCCATTACATCTCTGAAAAGGGCAGCCTTCTCTAACTACCTATCCACTCAATGACTTTTATTTCAAATTGTTGCTGGAGACTTCCTTGATTAAAAAATCAGAAGGAAAAAAAAGTAAGATAGGCTCTTTTTTATAAGACCGGTGCTCTAACCCCTGAGCTGTGGAGCCAACCACAATATATTCTCTTTTTTATAAAAAGTAAAGAAGTAACATCTTTCCTGTCTTCAAGCTGTTGGTGGAGATAAATTCTTTTTAAAAGTCCAGTTCTGATGCAAGATGGATGAGTGCATTTTAACTAGTAGCCTGAAATGTTGCTGGCCTGTTTAGATGTGGAATCTGTTATTCAAAGATACTGTTCACTTTTCGTTGTTTTTGACTCTAAGATAGTATTAAAAACTTGTTTTTTTTTAAATGTTTATTTTTGAAAGAGAGAGAGAGTGGGGGAGGGGCAGAGAGAGAGAGGGAGACACAGAATCCAAAGCAGGCTCCAGGCTCTGAGCTGTCAGCACAGAGCCCGACATGGGGCTTGAACTCATGGACCGCGAGATCATGACCTGAGCCGAAGTCGGACACTCAACTGACTGAGGCACCCAGGCGCCCCAGAAAGAGAGAATCTTAACCAGGCTCCATGCTCAGCATGGGGCCCAATGCAGGGCTCGATCCGCCTACCCTGGGACCATGACCTGAGCCAAAATCAAGAGTTGGATGCTCAACTGACTGAGCCACTCAGGCGCCCCATTTTTTAAAAATGACTTTAAACTTGTCCTTTTTTTTATGCCTCTTTGCACCATTCTGGATTATAGTAAATAGAAGTAGGTACACAGGTAGCCTCCCTTATGCCCTTCCTTTATTTTTGTGAACCTAACAATACACATTATATTCTTTAAAATTACTGTTCTCGGGGTACCTGGGTGGCTCAGTCGGTTAAGCATCTGTCTTCAGCTCAGGTCATGATCTCACGGCTTGTGGGTTCTAGCCCTGCATTGGGCTGTGTGCTGACAGCTCAGAGCCTGGAGCCTGCTTTGGATTCTGTGTCTCCCTCTCTCTCTGCCCCTCCCCTGCTCACACTCTGTCTCTGTCTCTGAAAAATAAATAAACATTAAAAAAAATTTTTTTTTAATTATTGTTCTCAGTATGGTACTTTATTTCCCTCTACTTTTATTTCTCCCACCCGCCAAATAGATATTTCTGTCTCTTTTCTTCAGGTTCTATCAGTTTTATGAGACAAGAAGATACACAGTAAATGAATATTGAAAGCAAGATCTGATTCTCCTTTATGCAATGATGTTTTTATGAAAATGCTACTGTATTATTTAAAAGAGTATTAAGGAATCATCTTTATTCAAACAATTTTAGAGTGTAGGTAGGACTCTGAGGGTTTACTGTTTATTCAAAATCAATTTCCATGTATATCAAACTTTACAGCAGATAATTCTGTAAACATTTTCTGAATATGGATTGCCTCTACCAGATGTTAGCCAACAACTTGTTTTTGTTAAGTCTTCCAGAGGTTCACACAGAAAAGGCTTATATGCCAGTTTCCTTCTTTCCCTGGCCCTGGTTTTTTATCCCTTCTCTTTTTTAGACACCTAATTTTACCTGACAGAGCCCTTAAAATTTAATTTTTTTAATTAAACAATTTTTAATGTTGGGGTACCTGGGTGGCTCAGTTGGCTAAGTGTCTGACTTCGGTTCATGTCATGATCTTGCGGTTCACAAGTTCAAGCCCTGCATCGGGCTCTGTGCTGACAGCTCAGAGCCTGGAGCCTGCTTTGGATTCTGTATCTCCCTCTCTCTCTCTCCCCCCTTCCTCCACTTGCTCTCTGTCCCTGCCTATCTCTCTCTCTCTCAAAAAAAAAAAAACATTAAAAAATAATTAAAAAAAATTTTAATGTTAAGTCTTTAAAATTTATAATTTTTATGAAGAGATGGTGGGGAATTTACAGTTAAACAGGGAATGTCGTGATTTAATCCTAACTCCGTGAAGTCAGTAAGCAAGGTAAACGGAAAGCAAATGCTCGTGTCCCTCAGTGGCTGCTAAGGTACCTGTTTTCACTTTCTGTACTTGTTTCAGGACCTGCTCAGTGCTGTAGAGACAAAGGAGGCTCTTGAAAGGGAAGTCAAGCTCTTCCAAGAAAGGCTGCTTGCTGGCCAGCGGGTCTGGGATGCCTCGAAGCAGGAACTGAGCCTCTTGAAGAAAAGCTCTTGCGAGTTGGAGAAGAGCTTGGAGGCCAGCCGGGATGCGACGGCAGCCTCGAGAAACCAGCACTCCTCGTTTAGGGAGAAAGTCGCAGCGCTGCTGCTCGGGGGCAACTGGGGCACGGTTGTGCCCACAGAGGATGCTATTTTGGAAAGGATCCGAGAAATGGCCAGCCAGGGAGAGAGCAGGAAAAGTGTGAGTGGTGACTTCTGAGATTCTTAAGGACAGTAGTTTGCTGAGTTAGTGAAAGTATCATTTAAGTGTGGTTTTTATTACTTTCAGCTGTATGTCATGCTTAGGGAGCCTGGGGAGTCACTCAAATGACAGCTAATGACAATGGGGGTTCTGGAGTCAGACCTGACTGTACTGAATCCTGTCTCTACTGCAATACTCGCTCACTCCAGGTGTGCCATGGGCAGGCTCCTGAGAACCTGTCTTTGAGATTCTGTGTTCTCACCTGCTGGACGGGGAGGGCTGAGGGGCCACACCCCTTATCTGAACCCCTTGGGGTCCAATGTGTTTTTGAATTGAGAATTTTTCAGGGTTTAGAAAGGTGAAATAGTACAGGGAACGGTAATGGAGGGAGCTCTCTTTTACACATCCCTCCTCAGTGGGGTCTGAGGCGGCACCCCAGAGTGAACCACATTCATCATTCTGCAGCAGAAGCTGTGACAAATCCATCACACAGAACACACCAGGACTGTGAAGAGCTTTGTGTCACTTCGGGTCAGGGTTTTCTGCCAGCTCCGGTCAGGTCAAGCTTTATCAGCAAGTGAGTTATGAAAAAAGCTGTCTGTTTCCAGATACTTTCGGATTTTGGAATTGCACGTAAGGGTTATCGGGCCTGTAAGAGTATCTGCCCCATAAGGTTATTGCTTGTTGCAAGCAATAAATGAAAAAGAAGATTGTTCTGAAGTCCTTAATGCAGTGCTGGGCACACAATGGTGATAAATATTAACTATGGCTACCCTTGCTTCTCCTCATCTCCCTCCTTCTCTTCATAACGCATTGGTGCCTGGAACAGTCTTTTAGGGAACCTGTTGAACAAACGGAGATAGATGTTTGGATTCATATATATGACTGAGGCTTGTTTAATATTGCTATCTTGTTTATACTATTAATAATTCTCCTTGGGGCACCCGGGTGGCTCAGTCGGTTAGGCGACTTGACTCTTGATTTCATCTCAGGTCACAATCTCATGGTTCATGAGATGGAGCCCTGCGTCCTGCTCTGTGCAGCACGGAGCCTGCTTGGGATTCTCTCTCCCTCCCCACCCGCTCGCGCTGTCTCTCAAAATAAATAAAAAAACTTAAAAAAAAATTCTCCTTTACTGTCTAGCTTTGCTTAGCAGAGTCAACTTCAGCCTGACTAAATTACCATCAAATGCAAATTATTGAAGCCCTAAGTAATGAGGTTTTCAAGTAAATAATATCCAAATTCTAGGTGTAACTCCATTGTGATCTACCTCTGTGAGTTCATGTTGGTTCAAAGGAGAAATTGCATTTTTCCCTTTTTTGATGTTTCTAAAATACTCAGAGCCATCACTAACTCAGAGTTCAGGGTGGCATTTGAAAATTTCCTTTAATGATAAAACATTTTCAATCCCCTTTAAAAAAATTCTCCAAAATTCATGTGTGCTCTTAGGAGCAAGTCAGGTGACCCCTTTGTCCAGGTGTAGGGTTCTCTTTGTGGATATAAAATGTGCAGGTCTCTGAGGGTAACTCAGTTTTTCTTGTGATTGGTCCTGGATTGCAGAAGAACATTACTTCCAGGACTGAGAACAATTTCATTAAGTTATTTACCTTGTCTAGTAAGAGATGCACTTCAGTAGCTAATGGTCCTTAAGCATTTCATTTTATTGCTTCCCTCTTCTGGTTTTCCAAATGTTTTCCTGAAACTATTTTAATTCAGCATGTGAAGCATGGCATAAAATTGTCAGCGTGATGTATATGTTTATTTTCTGAAGCAAAATGATGTAAATTGGTTAAGCTGGCTATGCCTTCCCCTACTCCCCATAAAAATCAGAACGATTCAGAGTCTTTTTAGTGCCTTTGTCTGCCTTTTCTACCCTGTAATTTTTTTCAATAGCTGTTCTCACTATTTAAAAGCCCGAAATCAAGCGTATAGCTGGCATCTTGTGTGACTCATCTTCAAGTAAAATCAGGAGAAAATGGATTTCATATTTTGTCTTAGAAATGTTTCTAAAGAATGGGAGCTTTACAGATTGATGAATCTGTTTGTTGAGGGGGCCATACACCCCTGCCAGCTGCCGTGGTTAAACACACACTCAACAGTTGCATAACACCCATGCGAAGGCCCAGTGGTGGGTTCAGGCCGGGCCTGGCAAATTTTGCCGCTTCATGTAGACTCCTACTTTGTGAACCTTGCCTTTCTTATCTTCCCTGTTGCTGTTCATTTTTACTCTCCTATATTTGCAGTTCTCAGTAGAACTCAGGACACCACCCACACGCTTTCAGTAAGCCACTTCTACTAGTTCCTGGCTTTTCTGCTTGTAGCCAAGTCAAATTCTCTTTTTAAAAGCTTTACTGTTTCTTGGGGTAGCGTTTCTCAGTTTGGCACTATTGACGTTTCAGGCTGGATAATCCTTTGTCATGGGGCTGCTTTGTATGTACATTGTAGGGTATTTAACAGCATCTCTGGCTTCTACCCAGTAGGTACCAATGCCACTATTTTCCCTCTCAATTTGTGACAACCAGTGATGTCTCCAGGCAAATGTTCCTGGAGGATGAAATCACCCCCGGTTGGAAACCAGTCTCTTAAAGGAATGTCCTGCTGTTGGGTTCCTAGGAATTCTAAATGAGTGTTTCGATGATGTTTAGCCTTGAAATTTCAGTACACTTGTAACAGGTGTTTTTGAAATAATGATGTCTTGCACAATGACAGAAAGTTGCGACATTTTCAGATTTTAGTGTAGGTTTTTGAGGCAAACATTTTTTTTTCCTTAAAATTTTTTTTTTAACATTTATTCATTTTTGAGAGTGAGAAAGATAGACCATGAGTGGGGCAGGGGCAGAGAGAGAGGGAGACACAGAATCCGAAGCGGTCTCCAGGCTTTGAGCTGTCAGCACAGGGCCCAACGTGGGGTTCGAACTCATGGACTGCAAGATCATGACCTGAGCTGAAGTCGGATGCTTAACCGACTGAGCCACCCAGGCACCCCTTCCTTACTTTTAGATGTTTCCTAACCAGCTCATCATCTGGAGGAGAAGTGATTATGTACAGAGAGGACAGGACCATGATTGATCTCTATGTCATTTCCTAAATTGAAGACAATTCATACAGGCTTACAAACGATTATCTAGACAGCTCTTTTGTTCTTCTTTAGGCACACATAAGGGTTTATTTTGTCCACTGGAGTGTTTCTTGGTCCAGTGGCTCCAGGTGGGCTGTGGGGACCCAGCCTGAGGCCCTAAAGGACCTGAGACGTGCTGTACAACCCCCTGCTCCCTCATCTGATCTGATCATTCTGCTTTGTTCCTAATTCTCCCAATACACAAAACCAAACATTTACCCAGAATCTTCGGCAGACTTCCACTGTCATTTCATTGCCCCAAATCATGTTACGTGGTCACGCCTAGCTATGGGGGCACCTGGGAGAGTGAAAAGATAGAGATTTTGGCTCTCCTGGCATCTACAGTGTCGTAATTTCCTAGGATGGCCATAACAAAGTGCCTCTAACCTGGTGGCTTAAACAATAGAAGTGTGTTTGTATTGTCTCCCAGTTCTGGAGGCTGTAAATCTAAAATCGTGATGTCGGCTAGGTTGGCTTCTTCTGAGGCTATAAGGGAGAATCTGTTCCAGGACTCTTGCCTGGCTTCTGGTAGTCTCAGGTGGTCCTTGGCTTATGAATGGCATTCTCTCTACATCTTCACATTATTTTCCTTCTATTTGTATGTGTCTCCGTGTCCACATTTTCCCCTTTTTTTTTTTAAAATTTTTTTTTTCAACGTTTATTTATTTTTGGGACAGAGAGAGACAGAGCATGAACGGGGGAGGGGCAGAGAGAGAGGGAGACACAGAATCGGAAACAGGCTCCAGGCTCTGAGCCATCAGCCCAGAGCCTGACGCGGGGCTCGAACTCACGGACCGCGAGATCGTGACCTGGCTGAAGTCGGACGCTTAACCGACTGCGCCACCCAGGCACCCCTACATTTTCCCTTTTTTATAAGCACACTAGCCATATTGCATTAGGGCCCAGCTCTGTAAAGACTGTATTTCCAAATAAGGTCACATTCTGAGGTACTGGGGGACTTGAACATACCTCTTTTATGGAGAACCCAATTTAACCTGTAACAAAAGTCAACATGGGGCACCTGGGTGGCTCAGTCAGTTGAGAGAGCCCGACCCTTGATTTCAGCTCAGGTCATGATCCCAGGGTTGTGGGAATGACCCTTGTGTCAGTTGGGCTCTGTGCTGAGTGTGGAGCCTGCTTGGGGTTCTCTCTCCCTCCCCTTCTCTCTCTCTCTCTCTCTTTCTGTCCCTCAGTCCCTCTCCACCCCCTAAAAAAAAGCATACACACTGATAATAAGGAAAGAGAATTTGATTGATGTTTTATTCCTGGTCCCTGACAACATATTTTATATACTTCCTGAGTGAAAATTACAGCTTGACTAATGAGAAAAGAGCTGTATGTCCAAAAGACACTGGTCCTTAAGTGACCCAAGTGGTTCTTTCTTCAGTTTAGAACTCTTGTGCTTTCTTTGGTTTAATCTTAGGGCAAAAGTGTCTCTCTGGTGAAATCAACAACTACTTGTCCTTGGGAAGTGACTGAAATTTTTTAGGGCATTATGACTTCACTTCCCAACACCAGGCTCCTTGTTTTTGAAGGATAATTTACTTCAGTGCCTTTTTGTTTTTGTTTTTTTAAAAAAAATGAGGTATGTTTTCTTCATTATAATCCCTCTCCCTTTCCCTCGATTCCCTACATCTCTCGTGTTGAAATCCCTGGCACATTTTGTCCCACGGAATATTAGGGATATGTTAACAGATGATACTAAGAAAAAGAGGAAAAAGAAAAAAGAAAAGCTTATTGACTCTTCAGAGTTCTCGGCGTGAAAACACAACACAACTTCACAGTTTTGGTGAGACACATATGTTCACCCAGGCGCTGGCATTTGATGTTCCCGAGAACCGAGTCAGATTAGAGTGTTAATTTATTTGACTACATTTATGTAAATATCTCTCTGAAAACTATTGGTCATACATGTACTGAGACCCAAAATAAGCTTATGAAGCTAAAGTTCTGGGACACGTAGACTATGGAGGGGTTCCCAGCTGCTTGCTCCTTCCTGGACACCGGAATCTTGAGTTTGCAGCTTCCCTACAGTTCAGCCGTCTACGTACCAGTGATTTTAAAAGTCATACTCTGCTGACCCTTCAAGCTTCGTGGAGCACTCTTGAGTCCACACCGGGTGAGGATGCAGGAGGAACCTTGTCACCTTCGATATATCACATTGCGCCTTATTTGTCCTTCCCAGAAAGGTTTTTAGTTAAAAAACAGGCCCTGTGGGCTGCAGATGGTTTGAGAAACACGATCTAGGACAATTTCTGAAGGGCCCCTCTAACGCTTTATGACAGAAGCATGAGAGTAACTGAACCAACATACTGGAGTAGGAATACTGATGGTAAAAATGGATGCAGTGCATTGAACTTCAGTCGGGTGTGAAATACTGTGCTGCTCAAATTATCTAAATTATCATCTCATCGTCAGAGCAAAGACACTAAGTTTCAGACAGGTTGATTACCTGCTTCAGTTAACATGCTGCTAAGTAGTCGAGTGGGAACTTGAGACGAGGACTGTGTGACTCCAGAGACCCCGTGCCACAGTCTGGTCTCCATCAGGACGTCCTCTTCTTTCTTCAGGGTCATTATCACTACCTTACTCACATTTTCAGCCATTGCCTGAGGTGTCATCCTCAAAATGGGAGGCTTTTTTTTTTTTTTTTAAATGTAACTGGGCTATTTGCACATTAGTGCATTTCAGCTTTTTTTTTTTTTTTTTTTTTTTTTTTTTTTTTTAAGTAATCTCTACACCCGGGGCGCCTGGGTGGCTCAGTCGGTTAAGCGGCCGACTTCGGCTCAGGTCATGATCTCACTGCTCGTGAATTCAAGCCCGCATCGGGCTCTGTGCTGACAGCTCAGAGCCTGGAGCCTGCTTCAGATTCTGTGTCTCCCTCTCTCTCTGCCCCTCCCCTGTTACACTCAGTGTCTCTCTTTCTCTCCCAAAAATAAACATTAAAAAAAAAGGTCATCTCTACACCCAATGTGGGGCTGGAACGCACAACCCTGAGATCAAGAGTTGCATGCTCCCCCGACTGAGCCAGCCATGCACCCCCAAAATGGGAGTCTTTCCTGATCAATTTCTCTGGCAGGCTTTGCTTTCCTCTGGGACCTTCTTCAGTGTACTGACTGTGGCTAAGTGATTACCCAGTTCTCCATCTCTCCAGCTGAGGATTTCTGTGTCTCTTTTTTCTTTGGTTTCATTCTCTTTGTTAGGTTAACTATGGGGTAGGAGAAGTGTTGAAGGACTTCCAGGTAGAAAGACTCACTTCCTACGTGGAGTCGAATGTGAAACACATTTCCTACTGCGCAGAATCATGTGCTCTGCCTTGTATAATATAATATCATTAAACAGCCCTCCTCCCCCCGGGCAGTATCTTGGGGGTGTTGTTTGATGGCTGTTGTTTTGTAGGTGACTTTGTATATTATACCAAGACAGGCGTAGCTTTCTTTTACATTGAGATCACATCTCTTATTAGTAAGTGCCAATGGTAGGAAGTACAAAATGAAGAGTTCTCAGAGGCTCATATTCTGTAATTAAAATTGAAATTTCCTTGGAGAACACAATTCCTTGGATGTGGTGCTAAGCAGCTTGCCATCAAATATTTGATTTCAAGCACCCACAGAAGTATAGAATTAATTGAATTACAGGCCTGGGACCTGGAGAGCCACAGAAGCACATGATATGAGCATTTGGAGATGAAGTAGTCTAACCTTCCTGACTGTAGCCACAGTAAGATGCTTAAAATACGAGATAAACACAAAGACATAAAATTGCAAATATAGTATCTCACCTGTATTTTAACAGGGCATAAAAATAAATTATTTGAAAATATTAATAGTTGTTAACCTCTGAGTGGTTTTTTTTTCCTTAAACTTTTTCTTTTGTCCTTAATGAATCTTTATTTATTTAAAAAAAATTTTTAATGTTTATTTTTGACAGAGAGAGAGAGAGAGAGAGAGAGAGAGAGAGAGAGCATGAGCAGGGGAGGGGCAGAGAGAGAGGGAGACACAGAATCTGAAGCAGGCTCCAGGCTCTGAGCTGTCAGCACAGAGCCTGACGCGGGGCTGGAACTCACAGACTGCGAGCGAGATCATGACCCGAGCTGAAGTCAGACGCTCGATTGACTGAGCCACCCAGGCACCCCTTTAATGAATCTTTTATAATGAGTATATATTACTTTGTAATTTTGGGGACCAGGAAAAATTCTTCCTTTCACTGAAGTGGAATTATTTCTCTGATTTGGACCTGTTGGTCCTTAACTTAAGCTCTGAGGGCAACTCAGAGCAAACCCTAGTGTTCTTCCAGATAATAGCTTTACAAAATATTTGAAGATGGCTGGAGTGTTTTCTTGCTTTTTAAAATGGTTATTGATAGGTAAGCAGAATTTTTTTTTAAACAGAAACTATAAACCTGAAACCATCAAGATATTTCAGTTTCTGTAAGAATGGTACTGAGTAATATGTAAATGTCTACTTTTTTCTTTTTTCTCTTCTGAAACTAACCATCAAAACAAAACATATTTTTCACCCCAAACTTGGTGTCTTTATTAAATTCAATGTTTCCTGAAGACTGGATCAGGTAGATTCAGTTTGACTTCTCGACATGTACCCAAGGTCTTTGGTAAACTTACGTTCTTATTTATAGGAACGTCAGGACAAAGAGAGAAACTCCAGGGAAGGATGGGAGCATTGGAAAAGTTAGGAGTGTGTGAAGAGAATGGGGGCCTTTAATGGAGAAACTGTGATTTCGTTTTGTGGGAGAGGAGGTAGCAATCAGATTGTCCCACCTTCTTGCATGTAGAATTGCTGTGTTGAGTTTGACCTTCCAAATGCTATAATGATAATATCACTGTATGAGTACACAGCACAGAAGCAGCACCACTGAACTTTGGTGCCTGAGTAACCGATACTCAATGGAAAATTGCAAAAAAGCTTGAAAAAATATCTTTATGCACTTGAATTCTGGATAAATTTACTATAAGGTTAACTCACTGTGTAATCTTTACTCCGCCATATATGGTGGAGGAGTTTCTCTGGAGAATGACACTTGCATAGGTTTTAAAAGCACTTTCTGTCTGAACTTTTTTTCCAGTTAAGCTTTGAGGCTCCTAAATTAATGGCAGTTTTAGGGGTATGTAAATATCACCCATAAATATTTATCGAGTAACCTGTTTAAGGAATTATATAGAAATGAAAACAAATACCAATAGAAATATTTTATTAGGTAACGAATACAGATTTATTTCAAGCAGAGGCAGATACAGCTATCAAATTACCTGTTTTTTATTTAATTTTTACAAAGAATCTGGAAGTTGGTGTTATAAATAGTTATGTTGCTTGGGTCGAGCACTAGATTTGAACACTTTGGTGCATCCGAAACAAGGCTTATCCTTGTCTGTTTCTTTGTTTCCAGATGGTCTCCCAGCTTGAAGCCCGAATATCTGAGCTTGTTGAACAGTTGGGAAATGAGTCTGGGTTTCACCAGAAAGCTCTTCAGAGGGCCCAGAAAGCAGAAAGCAAGTTGGAGACTCTTCAGGGTCAGCTGACATACCTGGAGGGAGAGCTGGCTTCTGGAGATGTTTTGCGAGATAACTTGAATTTTGAGAAACAAAAAGTAATAACCCGAGGGTATCTGTGGGGAGAAACATCTGTTGCAGTTTAAAATTTTACCTGAAAATGTTCTGAATTTTACAGTACTTCAGTAGAATGGTTAAGTCTGCATAATGAGTAAATGTCAGGGAACAACGTCCTGTTTTGGGGTGTCTTCCTAGTACTTAGGGCTTTCTTGATTCGGATTAATCCAGTTAAACTCAACAGGTATTTGTTGAATGCCGGTTATGTATGAGACCCTGAAGGTTTGAGGGCTAAGGTCTGAGTAACACACAGTTCTTGATCATAAAAGGCTCATAATTCACTTGAGGAGACATTCTAGTCATTTGCTGTGACTATAAAGCTGTATGTGTTGTAACAGATGTATTGATTGACAAAATGCTGTAGGAACTCAGTGAAGGGAATGATAACTTCTGGATAAGAGGAGGATTTTTACAGGGGAGAGGGCAATGGAGTTCACCCTTGAAGGATAAGTAGGATTTTAGAGGAGCGAGGGTGCGGATACTATAGGGGAAACAGTGCGAGCAAAGGCGTGAAAGCTCCTAAGTGCATAGTGTAGTCATAGTGCGGAGCGATTGTTCCAGTGTGGCTGGAACACAGCATTCCGGATGGGGTTGTGGCAGGAGAGAAGACTAGCATGGTTTGGATGACGAAGATTCTTTATTCTAGCTTCTGTAGAATATTAAGTGTAGTAAGGGATTTTGAGCATTGCGGTGTTTTAGAAAGATGACGCGATGTCACAGTGAAGCTGAAGTCACAGCAGGGACAGACTTGGGAATGCTAATGGCGATAACCCTGTGTGAGAGAAGGAGAGTACAATGAGAAGGGGCCCCCACTTATGACTTGACCGTGGGGAGACCACCTGTGACCGTCCAGAGGCAGTTAGACTGGCGGAGAGCAGAAGCCAGTTTGCTCCGGGCTGAGGGGTGAGTGCAGAGGAAAGGTTTGAGTGTAGAAGTAGACTCTTAGGAAGTCTGGCGACCAGAGAGAAAAGAAGCATGAAGCAAGAGGACTGAAGGAAGATTTTATTGGCTGGGAGGGGAAGGTACATGGTTGTGAGTCACAGGAGGAAAAAAAAGAGAGAGAGAAAAAAAGAAATGGGATTGGGATTGGATTTGGCATGAAAAATAAATACGCTTAGGTTAAAAAAAATATTCTGGAAACACATCCATCCTCATTTTTCAGCACTTCGGAAAGCCAAGGAAGCATCACGCCTGCATGGAGGGTTGGATAGGCAAAGACATGTAAGAGGTCTGTGGGAAATCCTAGTCTAAGTGGATGACACAGGTAAATGAGAACACAAGAGTTAATTAATGGAGGGAGGTATAAAATTCAACAGGAAGTTGGATAAAGTTTCCTGTTTCTGTGAGTGAGGAAATGAGCCATCTTCACACAGGAGGTAGCATCACGAGAGGCTTTAAAGAATGAGTAGGAATTTGTCAGGCAGAAGAGGTGGGGGAAGGGATTCACAGTATCGAGAACAGTAGGAGGAAGGAAGGAGTGGAGGTGTGACCTGTTGTGACCTGCTGTGACCTGCTCAGGAGACCAGTGAGGCACAGGGAGACGGAACATGGTGCCTGGTGAGTCCAGAGGCGTGAGGTGGCTCTGGAGACGTGTAGGAATTATTGAGATAGGGAAGGCTAGCTGCCCAAGGCTTTATCCTGTAGACAATGGGAAGCCATAGAAGGCTTTTGAATAAAAGAACAGATTTCTCCGAAGGCAGACTGGCTTTGAGGGCCTAGAGATGAAAGGTAGGGAGCCCGGCTAGGGGACTGTTAGAATAGATAGTTAGAATAGAATAGAACAGTAGGTAATAAAGATTTGGACCAGGTAGTGGGGTTATGAATGAAGGGGTAGATTTGACAAATTTGGGAGGGTGAAGAGTAGCTGAAAAAGATGTATTGATTGAAAATTTGAGTTTGAAAGGAAATGTTGCACCTGAGTATAATGTGTTAAATTGGAAGAAATCTGACTGCTGGGCTATCTACCTAGATGTCCCATGAACACATTGCACTAATCATTTTCAAAATGGAAATGATCACCTCTCCACAAATTTGCCCCCTCCTGCCTCAGGGATGATGACGTAATCTGCCTCCAGCCACCTGAGACAAAAGCCCCAGGGTCATTCTTAATGCTTCCCTCTTCTTAACCAATTCCTAAACACTGTAAATTCCATCTCCTTAACATATCTCAAATGTCACCCCCCCCCCCATCTCTATATTTAGCGGCAGTGCTCTGACTCCAAACATTATAATCATTTGTATGGACTGTCCAAACAACCTTCCAACAGCTCCCCACCCTTGCCAGGGAGGTCTTAATAAAATGTGTGTCCAATTTTTCTTAAAATTGGCCAGGGGCTCTCTATGGCCTTCAGGCTCAGCTACAGATCTCTTCTTTCCATGGCTAAGCATTCTGTGACCTGGCCAGATCCCCTCTCCAGGCTTTCCATCACCCGTAATCCCTCCAGCCTACGGTGGCAAACTCCAGGCTTCAGGGGACTAACAGGGCCCTGCAAGGGTGTGTGGTGATTGATCTCTGAGCCTGAAGACATCCACATTCAAATTTATAAAAAACAATTGGATGGCCAAAAAAAAAAAAAAAAAAAAAAAAAAAAAATGGGGGGCCTCCTTGGCATCCTATATTACATGTTGCTGTTCTCTCCGAGAAAAAGTTCTCCTTACCTTCTTCACCTGGTAATAGCTGTCCCTTGAAGACTCAGTTCCAATGTCACTTCCTCCTTCCCCTTCCTTAGAGACTTAGTTTTCCTTCATGCAACATGTGCGTATGTCTGTCACAGCACTTACTGACCTAATGTCTTCCGTCTTCTCCAGTCAACTCCAAGCTTCTTGAGATCAGAGGAAATCTTTTTTTTTTTTTTTCTTTTTTCTTGGTTTCTCCAGCAATTAGGGAAGAGTCAATAAATAGTATTGAAATTGTGAAGAAAGATCTAAAAAGCAAGAATTTTAGGTAGACTGGTGTCTCTTCCCTTTTTATTTTTCATTGTAATGACTCATTGATTTTCGCTGAGCTCGTGCCAAAAGAACTCTCAGTTACGAAAGCAAATTATGTAAATGGATTCCACTGTGGCGAATATTCCGTAGATCACCACCTCTGAACTGCACGTCCCAGTAAGGATGACAGGCATGTAAAAGTGAAAAGCCAAGTTGTACAGAGTTTAAGTTTAAATATAGGTAATTGAGGTGCACACAGAACAGAATATATTTATGCTAAACTGTGATTCAAAGAAATAGGTTGTCCAGGAAATCCCTCCAGTGACCCTACCCTTTTGAGGCATAGCCGAGATCTTTGAAACGGGCCCTTGCTATGTGGGGTGTGGCTTGGTCCTGTCCTTATCCCATTTTGCCGGTTGTAGATCCTGGCATGCTAAGTGGATGGGTCACATGTAGACGTAGCAAGAGAGACTTTATGCTTCCACATGGAGGGTCCTGGTTCTATTTTATTTACAAAACAAACAATAGCAATTATTTTTACTTTCATCCATACCTTCAAAATGAATAATTCCAAGGGGAGTGCTGACACAGCATGAAGAAGTGAGAAACTGGTGATGTGGAAACAAAAGTAGCTTCTGGTCTTGGTCTTGTAGCCCAAGACCACAACCTACCACCGTGTGGCACAGCAGATAAGCAGTACTTCCCGTGACCGTGCCTTACAAAGAAGAGATTACATTGTAGGTATGCCACTCAACAAAATTTGAAAGTACTCACTTACAAATAATTTCATCTCGATGACTAAAAGTATTGATAGTTCTGGGCTTTATACTGGCATGCTTCAGTCACCCAGGAATCATACTTATTTAAACATATAGTCGCCTCAGAATGCCAGATAAATGAAGACTTATTGCAGTGGGAAGAAAGTTTCAAAGACAGAACCCAAATCATGAAGTGATGATACAGAAAGTTCATTGATTGGTTCACTCATCCAACAAGTGCTTAGTAAGCATTCCTCTGTCGGGCCCGATAAACCACAGAAATTAAGTGGAGGATATAAAAAAAAAAATACTGAATTCAAGGGCTACATGCACCCTGATGTTTTAGCGACATTATCAACAATAGCCGAATCATGGAAAGAGCCCAAATGTCCATTGACTGATGAATGGATAAAGAAATGGTGGTGTGTGTGAGTGTGTGTGTGTGTGTGTGTGTGTGTGTGTGTGTGTGTGTGTAAAATAAATAAATAAATACTACTCAGCCATAAAAAAGAATGAAATCTTGCCATTTGTAACGACATGGATGGAGCTCAAGAGTATTACGCTAAGAGAAGTAAGTCAGAGAAAGACAAATACCATATGGTTTCACTCTATATGTGGAATTTAAGAAACAAAACAAATGAACATAGCAGGAAAGACAAGAAGGAAAACCAAGAAACAGACTCTTAACTTAGAGAACAAATTGATGGTTACCAGAGGGGAGGTGTGTGGGGGGATGAGTTAAATAGGTGATGGGGATTAAGGAGTGCACTTGTCGTATTGAGCACCGGGCATCGTATGTAACTGTTGAGGCACTAAATTGTACATATGAAACTAGTATTACACTGTATGTTAACTAACTGGAAATTAAATAAAAACTTGGAAGAAAAATAAAGAAATCAAGTGGAGGAAGATCCTGGAACGATTTTGTAACATTCACCTGTTAAAAAATGAACCTTGACTTCATTGATACGGCTGTGTTTTACAATATTGTTCCTTAAACTATGTTACATTAAAAACTCTTTAAGACATTTTTTTGGTATAGGAATTTAAGTTTAAAAAAAAAAAAGCAAAAACGTTGTCCAAGTGTGTTTGTATGGAGAGCTTTGATTTTGGAGTGATCTGTAGAATCCAAGGGGAGTAAAGTGGCAACTGTTGTCATGTTTTTTTCCACATTTGAGGCCAGGGCCCACTTAGGATGGAAAAGTTGCCATGGAAGGTTTGTGGATGAGTAGACCCCAGAAGCTGGATTAGCCTGGAAGGGACAGCAGCCTGTCGCCAAAGCAGAGAGATGCAGATGTTGTCCCGAGGATGCCAGATTTGTCATGTGGCAGGGTTGAGAAGAGTGGCTCATGTTACGTTGAACATCAAGATCACTGACCACGAGAGTCAAGTGAATTTGGACAGGAAGCAGGGCAGGGAGCTGGCAAGGTGGTTCTGGAATTCATTACCAAACACTGGGGTCAGGGGTCGGGCTCCATACTGGGTTTAATGAGACCTATCTGTAAGTTTGGGAGAGAGAGAAGGAGTCTGTGAGATCACCTGTTAACTTCGTTTTTGTGCCTCATTTTCATTTTTGTTCTTGGGTTTAGTATCTTAAATTTCTGGATCAGCTCTCAGAGAAAATGAAACTGGACCAGATGGCTGCTGAACTTGGCTTTGACATGCGCGTGGATGTAGTCTTAGCTCGCACAGAGCAGCTGGTCCGCCTCGAGAGCAACGCAGTCATTGAAAACAAGACTATCGCTCACAATTTACAGAGAAAGGTAGGGGATACTGAAACTTGCTAGTGTTGAGAGAAAGAATTGCTGAGACACTTAAATATTGAAAAATAGTTTACTTCCCCTTGTATTTATCACTGTGGTTAGGAAACATAAATATGTATGTATAATTTGAGTCTCTGTTTCAAGTCTGAGGGATGGTAAGTTTATCACCTAAGGTTATGTTTGACTGTGAGTCGTAGAGACCCAAAATAATGGTGGCTTATATGACTGGATGTGCTTCCTCCCCACCCCCCCACCCCCCCATAAGTTTCTAGAAGTAGACCGCTCAGGGTGAGTGTGGCCAGTCTGCTCTGTGAAGTTTTCCAGGAACCAGGCTCATTTCAGCTCATTAATCTCCCATCCCTAGGGTGGTTCATATCTTTATGGTTCAAAATGGTACCTAGGGGTTCCAGACAGAAGTTTGGAGAAGGAAGGGACAAAGAAGAGGGATGCAAAAGAGCATGTGTGAGCTGTCTTTTGATGGAGGCTTCCAGAATTTGCCACGTTAGCTTGTGTTTATGTCCCATGATTCTGATGACCGAAATTAATTCAAGGGAAGCCGGACACTGTAGTCCTTTCCCTAGGTAACCACTTGCCTACCTACGAAACTCACTGATTCTGTTATTAAGGGAGATGAGGAGAACTTGGGAATATCTAGCAGTCTCCGAGTTGATAAACTCTCTGGCACTGGAGAGAAAAGCGAGGAGAAGCATTTACTTTTCATTGACTCAAAAGAAGAATTAAAAACAGTTTAGACTAAATAAATGAGTGAGTAGATGAAAAGGATAAAAATATAATTATTAGTTATATAATTATTGGCATTGGTGAAAGAAAGAGCAAAACACAGATGTGTTCTTATAATAGTTCTTAGGAGAAAATTCTGTGGTGGAATTATAGTGTACAGGCTGTGTCATGGGTCACATCTGGGATTCCAGTTTGGTTCCACCAAGCTGTGTGACCTTGGACAAATTACATGCCTCTCTGTCTCTATTTCCTCATATTTAAGATGGGAATGATATCTACCTCATGAGGTTGTTTATTTTTAATAAGACCCATTTTTTAAACTCTTGGCTCATAGACTGAGCTATGTTCACATTTGATCTCTTCTCCATATACTAGATTTTGAGGAATACTTTATAAAAGACAGCAGATGACCCCTGTGACCGTCAGAGACATTAAACGGAGCTACAGTTCTTTCTGAAGGTCTCCTCAGATAATTGATTTTCCCCCCGATCTCCAACATCGTTCCTTCTGACATATTGTATAATAATTGAAATTACCAGCTGTACAGGACTCACCAGGGTAATTGTGCAGTCGAGGGGAATTTGACATGAAGAAGCTCGAGGAAGGGAGTTTGGCTAGAGAGACACGAAACGGGCTTTGTTAAGAATGGATCTGGCTATGGACGCTGCCACCATCGTTAGACAAGATACACAAGGCTGCATTTCAGTCTGTCCTTCACACCTCTGAGGAGTGCAGAGTATATAATTGCGGAAAATGTGATGGTCCTCAGCTCTAACATTCTAGAAGTCTGCACGATTCCAATCCCCAATGTTTGCAACAGATGTAAGAGGTTTCTGTACTTAATATTCTCCTCACTAATTGTGACATCACAGTCCAGGAGGATTTCTTTTCCCCCTTTAGAGGCCATAATCTTTTTCTAAAATCCATTATAAATTCCTTCATCAAGTTTGATTGTCAGTAATTAGTGCTGTTTGAAGAATTTGTTCTCTGCTTGGTTTGTGGCCGGTATAGGCCAGGCAGATGATAAAGACACCAGTGAACTGGAACCTTCTTGAAGTCCTTTCCATTTCAAAGATTTTAAACATATAAGCACAGCTTTCTTTAAATGCTCCCTGATATAACTTACTTTAAAAAGATAACAACTCTCATGTTTGGCATCACTCGGTCTGGTTCCAAGGGATTGAAATGACTCAGTCTCGGTTTTTGGTGCTAACATGCACTCTATTTTCTTTTAGCAAAGACCAGTGCCAGGGGGTGGTAGAGAGGATGTTGTCTCTCTACCCTATTCTGATCTTGATAAGCCCATGTTCGTAGCTTTGAAAGTAATCGTACATGTCTGTTATGGTGTACATAATGTTGGAGGGAATCAGAGGTGGAAAGCCTACTTCTCTGTGCATTTTCTGTGGCTCTTTTGTCTCATGCTTTGCAGCTACAGAATTAGTTCTTGGAAAACCAGGAATAAAAAAATGCAATCAAGAAAAGGAATCCAATAACCTTTTCTGAGGGTTTATAGATGAGTCTAATTGAAGTGCAGATAAAGATCAACGTTATCTGAGTAATTCGTTTATATTTACTGACTGCTCGGTGATTATTTAAAAAAAAAAGATCCCCGTTTGTGTCACATCAGCTCAAGACTCAGAAAGAAAGACTGGAGAGCAAAGAACTGCATGTGAACCTTCTCCGGCAGAAAATTGCCCAGTTGGAGCAGGAGAAGCAGGTGCGTTCGGCCTTGGTGGTAGAGAGGGACGAGGCCAATCTCACCCTAAGGAAGTTGCAAAAGAAGGTGGAGAGGCTGCAGAAGGAGCTGAGTGTGTGTCGAGAATCGAACACGGAGCTCAAAGCCCAGCTGGCTGACACCCATGAGCTTAAGGCAAGTGCCCATCTTCATTCCCTTGTTGATTTTTGCACGTTGCCATTGAGGTTTATGTGAAAGGGTGGCAGTCTTATAACAGACACGCCGGAAAAGAAAAGGAGATAAGGGCTTTCTGTGATCTTCTGGAGTTGTGGGAAAAATGCAAATACTACACAAAATCAGCATAGTAGGCCAATTTAGCGTCTCTTCAATGCTTGGAATGGAGCCATAGTTGCCGTGTGAAAAGCCCATCAAAAAAGGGTGATGGAGGTGACGGAGATTAAGAGGACACTTATCTTGATGAGCCCTGAGTGGTGTAGGGATGTATGGAATCACTGCACTGAAATTAATATAATACCGGATGTTAATTACGCTGGAATTAAAAGAAAAAAAAGGTGATGTTAAGTACAGAAAATATAAACATTTCTTCCAAGTGTGGGTGACTATGATATTTGGGATCAGGGGTTTATCACGCGGGAATCTGCTTAGCAAGAAATGAGAAAACGAACACAGCTCTTCACTGAGAAGTCAGCCAGCATTGTGTCCCGTGGCCTGGAGATGCCGTCCGTGTACCCAGAAGTGAGGAAGGGTCCCTGACTGGGGCAGTGTGCTTCCGGGATTCGGAGGGTTCAACTTCTAATGGCAACAGAGAAGAAAGGAATTAAAACATAAAAGAATTTAATCAAAATCTTTAAATGTCATGTATGTGTGCCACTGGAAAGAATATGTAACTTCATATGCACATATCCTTTCTGGCAGAAATGCGTGTCATGAATACAGATGAGAATAATGTCCTCGCTCTTTACAGATGAGCGCTCTGTAATGGACTTTTGGAATGTTTCTGAATCTGGAAACAGACCAGCAGGGAAAAGGAATCTGGAATTAAGCTAACACTTCAGTATGTGTAGTGGGGACAATATTTTAGGAAATATTTCCTACTGTATGTTTTTTTTTCTTCTGAGTCATTAGCTCTTTTCTCCTGAAACCTTTCTTTTTTAATTTTTTTAACATTTATTTATTTTCAAGACACAGAGACAGAGTGTGAGTGGGGAGGGGCAAAGAGAGAGGGAAACACAGAATCTGAAGCAGGCTCCAGGCTCTGAGCTGTCAGCACAGAGCCCAATGCAGGGCTCAAACCCACTAACTATGAGATCATGACCTGAGCTGAAGTCAGACGCTTAACAGACAGCCACCCAGGCGCCCCTCTCCTGAAACCTTTCTAAATTGAGGCTTTTTTCCCCAGAGGAAAAAAACAGGGCAGACACAGCCCAGGGGAGGGAACATATTTAAAAATAAGGGAAGCAGGAAGCAAGGGAAGGCATCTTATGGGGTACAAAGGCTGGGGAGCAAGTGTCAAGGTAAGCATCTCCCACACCCCCTCACACCTTGAGACTTATCTTTGGGGGGGGGTGTGCTGGGGTGGGGGTAGAACCCCTGAACTCAGCATGCCATTGCTTCCGCCCTGGCTGGAAGCGGCAGGAGTGCTGAGGCAGCATCAGTGTCATAAAACCAGGTTTTACAAATGTCCTGTGGGGGATACAGAGTGTTTCTAGGTGGTGTCTCACGGGGCATTATATAATGTTGAGCCCTGAAGTGGAAAATGGATTCCCTTTAATTTTTCTTTCAATTCTTCCATTGTCAAGGAGAAAATCTTAATTAGAAGTTATTAAGGCAAAACCCGTAAGAGACTCTTAAATACTGAGGACAAACTGAGAATTGCTGGGGGTGGGGGTTGGGTTAAATGGGTGACGGGCATCAAGGAGGGCACTTTCGGGGTGAGCACTGGGTGTTGTACGTAAGAGATGAATCACTGGGTTCTACTCCTGAAGCCAAGACTACACTGTGTGGTAACTAACTTGAAAAAAAAAAAAAGTTACTATGTCTTTACTACTATTATTGCTATACCTCTGACTTTGGGCCTAAGAAGATTCTTTTCTACTCATTGGCTTCCTCGTGTTGAAGGAAAGATGAGGATGGTTCCTATAATTGGTGTTAAACATTCAGGTACCAAAACATAGACTAGGAATGATAAATAAAGTGAACCTGGATTTCAAAACAGGGAGATGAATTCCGTCATCTAGAAAGGGACATGTTTCATTATAAGCGTGTTTCGGTGGAATAGTTCAAATTCTTCAAACAAATCTGTGATATAAGGAAAGGGTAAACAGCACTCTTTTTTTGTTTTTTGTTTTGTTTTGTTTTGAGAGGGGGCAAGTGAACAAGGGGCAGAGAGAGAGGGAGAGAGAGATGAGGAGAGAGGGAGAGAAGGGGGGTCTCACCCGAAGCAGGGTTCGGACTCACAAACCGTGGGATCGTGGCCCGAGCCAAAGTCCAATGCTTAACTGATTGAGCCACCCAGGCGCCCCGCACTGGGGATTTTCATACACCGAGCTTGCTGAACTCCACAAAGCCAGAGGAGAAGAGAATGTGGAGCAGTCTGGGTGATTCCCAAGGACAAGTAAGTGGGAGTGACACCGAGGAAGCTGAGGCATGCTGGCTGCCTAAAGGAAGGACTCAAGTGAGGATGTCCTAATAAGACCACCACTGTGTTTCTGAAACCATGTGTGGTGATGCTGGTAGCTGCAGGGTGAGCCGCCCGGCCTCCTGTCCCCAGTCCCCTCCGCCCTACAGCTGAGGACATCTGGTTCCTACCAACAAATTTTCCCCGTCTCATAGAGTGCGGTTTTCTGTCCTCAGGAGAAATTACGAAACTTAATTTAACAAGTCAGGATTGATTCAACCTCGCGGTTTATTTTCCTGCTAACCTAGTTCTGAAATGTGCATTGCTTCTGCGGCTAACATCGGAGCAACTGTTCCCCATAATTGGGTTGCCGCTCTGTTCTTTCTACTCCGCCCATCTCCTTATAACCTCAGAGAACCTTGCTTCCCTTGATACTAGAGGCCTGCCCTGCTTTTTCCAGTTTCCAAGAACTGCGACTCCATCTTTGAACAAAGCCGGCTGGCCCTAATGTCAGGACTCTGACATTAACCTGCGGGTTCCAGCTACCTTGATGTGTGTTTCCAGATACTGTAAAGCTAAAATATAATAATGTGGCAAATGAATATTCTATAAAACATGGTACAACAATTAGCTGCCATTTTAGCTAATTTTGTCACTGCTGATGGGTGGCAGTTATACTCTGCGCCTTCAGAATTACCATAACTCAGGAGGCTGAATAAGGTTGGCTTACACGGAGCACGGCGGCGCTCAGTCTAGCAACAGAGGACGTGATGATGGGACAAGGGATTCCCCATCGGTGACACCCAGGAATGGAGCCCAGCACCCGCTGGGTGAGAGTGAGTGATGAGTGGTTTTAGAAGTGGGGCACTTCCTGGCTAATGGCAGTGTGGGGGCCCACTGGGGCCGTGGGTCCGAGGAGGGCATCTTCCAGGCTAAGGGTATTGGCAGTAGGGCTGGGACCCCTAGCTGAGACAACCCCGTGTATCGGAAACGGTGTTGGGGAGAGAGTAGCCCACACTTGCTGTAGCAGAAGCTGGAAAACAGCCAGTGGAAGTTGAGTCCTGTGTCTACAGAGGACGTTCCCGTCTGGTCTCAACGACCTCTGCCTCAGCTCTGCACCGTATGTCACCTGGATTATTGTAATTATCTGCAAGTGGTCTTTCCACTTAGCCTTTCACAAGCAAGCCTGATTTCTGTAATTAAGTTTTGCTCTTTGGCTGGTAGGATTATGCCACAGGTGGTTCTGGGGTAGTGTCTGATCGAACGACTTTCTATTCCCGTGTCTGTGGTATAAAGCAACGTTTTCAGGCGTGGGGCATGTACCCCCTGTGGCGTGTGAAATGCTTCTAGGTGGCACTATGTAATGTTCACTTTGAAGCGAAAGATGGATTCCCTTTAATTTTTCTTTCAATTCTTTCCCCATCAAGGAGAAAATCTTAATTAGAGGTTATTATGTTTTTATGCCTCTAGAACATTTGCTGGTCTGCTTTTCAAGCAAAGAATAAGCCTTAAGCTCAGTGCTGAGCACAAGAAATAGTACCTAGCAATGCTGTTTTGTGTTTATTGTATAGTGGCTTTTTCTTCTTTAAACATTTTTTTAAATTCCACTATAATTAACATACAGTGTTACATTAGTTTCAGGTGTACAATACAGTGATCAACAATCCTATACATTATTCAGTGCTCCTCACAATAAGTTGTACAATATTTGTTTTGTTTTTTTTTTTAATTTAAAAAAAATTTAATTTTTTTTAATGTGTATTCATTTTTAAGAGATGGAGGGAGAGCACAAGCGGGGGAGGGTCAGAGAGAGGGAGACACAGAATCCAAGGCAGGTTTCAGGTTCTGACCTGTCGGCACTGAGCCTGACACGGGGCTTGAACCTGTGGATCCTGAGATCATGACCTGAGCCGAAGTCAGACATTCAACTGACTGAGCCACCCGGGGGCCCCTGTGTTGGTTTTATTGATGTCTTCCTGTTGTGGCAAATTCTTTTTTTTTTTTTTTTTT